AATTTTATTTTTTCAGTCTTTATGATGGTCGATACTTGATCTATCTCTTACTGTTACATCCCCGGGCAACGCTGGGCTCTACTGCTAGTATATATATAAATGCATCTTTACGGCGATGGGAAAGAGACTAAATCTGAGATGTCATGTGCTGATTTTTCTTTGGATTTTATCAAGAATCTTTATTCAAGGATATAATTTTGTTTATCTTCATATTTGTTAAATGTTTCTGATGAAACGTTTTAGTTAAAAAAAAACACCATATTCGTTGGATTTTTTTCATAAATGTCATAAAATGTATTACACGATGAACACCAAGTTTTACTTCAGTACGTTCTTTTAAGTGTTGGCAAATATGAAAGAATAGGCACAACTTTTAAATGTGAATTTGTAATTCTAGCTGCAAGTTACCCCGATGGTTGCTTTTTTTTTGAAAAAAAAAAGGAGAATAAATTAAAAAAAATAAATTAAAGCAATTCAACAATGTTTTGCGGCAAGTGGCCAAAGATTTCATTTTTTCAAGCACCAGGTCGTATATCGTTGCTGTCACGTCCGAAAGGTGACGCCACCTGCTCGGAGTAAGATTCACGTGCAGCTAGACGTTGCAGGCTTGCAGCTTGGTAACATAAAACCTGAGGGACACCAGCTTTCTTCAGCTGTGGGCCCTAATTGAGTGCATGATATGCATGCAAGTTGTTTCGTGTGAGCCTAAAATATATGTACGTGGGGGTACTGAAAAATTATTGACCAGCGAAGAATTCCTTCTAATAAAAAAACATTTGATTTCAAGATTCTCTTCAGATTCTGATAACTGACTGAAAAATTGAAATGGAAAAAGTCTGTAGCAGTTTTTCGACTGCTTTTTTTTATGCTTTCACAGTTAAATTTCTAATTTTGACACAAACTCAGTCCACTCCGAAATAGGCTATTCTCTATATGAGGTGATTTTGGATTTTATTGTTTAATAATTATTTGCTCTGTAATAATAAATACATTGAACTCTTTTCGTGGATCAGTTTGAATATTTTATGTTACTAGGATCGACTTGGATTAAATTTTGTATTTTATTGTTTATCAATTATATTGCTCTGTAATAATAAATACATTGAACTCTTTTTCTGGATCAGTTTTAATATTTTATGTTACTAGGATCCAATTGGATTATATACCAATGGATGTGTTACCTTTACTATATATATATATATATATATATATATATATATATATATATATATATATATATATATATATATATATATATATATATATATATATATATATATATATATATATATATATATATATATATATATATATATATATATATATATATATATATATATATAAAGTAAGAAGAACAGTAAGATATATACTCCGGTGTTCTTATAGATATTTTTATTTTTACAAAATAGTGCTCAATGTAAATTTACAGAGCATAATATTAAAAATAATTGATTTAAAATATGATTTTTTTCGCTCCACAGTTCTAACCATGTTTCAAAAATGGAAGCTGAAAGTTTCGAATTTAATTTTGTAATTAAATTAAAGACATTAGTTCCATTTCATCCTCAAGCGAAAAAAAAAATTTTAAATCAACTAATTTATAATATATATATATATATATATATATATATATATATATATATATATATATATATATATATATATATACGTTGAAAAAAAAGACTGGCAATGTAATTTTGCTTAGGTTTTTTCTTAAATGTGTCTTATATTTCTTATTAAGCATCTTCTTTTCATATTGAAGGTGAAAAGATTATATAAATGGTAATGGCATTATTAGACGGTTTCCATATAAGGAAACATTTGTTATTCTTTGACAGAGCAGCCACTACCGCATTCGGTTGAAATTCATAACTTTTTCTCTTAAAACAACTTTCAAGAAAATTATTTTCACAAGTCCAGTAGGTTTTATCGCTTTTTTATTCCCCCCGCCCCAGTATTGATGTAGTTTTCCTTCCTAACCTTTTGTTTGAAGTCATGTGGAATGTCAATATTTTGATTATGTCATTTTTTTTCTCTCCGAGTTACATGCACTTACCATTTTTGTTGTTACTGCTGTTGAAAGTCCTTAAACGATGTGGTTTCAGTTATTTGCTACAGATCTTTTTTTGTGATCATGTAGCGCCATCCCACAAGGACCAAAGAAAGAGGATCTTCGTCAAGACTCACACTCTTCACTTGCTCAAACCCATTTTTAAACATTTATCTTAAAAAGCGATTGTATACAACTGGCAGTTTAGATATTTCTGAACAGGTTTGGTACTATGTATCCATATGGATGTCACAATTTGATGAGCCTACTTAAAAATATGGCACCAATTTCCAGGTTAATGTTTTAGTTTTGTAGCAATTGGCGGTATTGGGAGAAATTCCTTCTGGTGCAATCTATTCTATATTCAATTTCCTTTTCCTCTATACTAAATTTGTTATAACTGATCCATACGCCAACGTCTTTATTGTTAGTATTTACTAATTCCACATCTCCGCCCTCTCTCTCTCTCTTTTATATATATATATATATATATATATATATATATATATATATATATATATATATGTAGAAATTTTGTTTTATTTTATCGTATACAGGATGTCTCTAAAGTCTGGACACAGGAAATCTTGTTATTAGGTTGGTGCAAAAATAATGACGTAAGAATGTCGTTTTTTAACGTTAAAAATAACGTCAAAAAACGACATTATTACGTCATTATTTTTGCACCAACCTAATAATTATATTTTATTTTTACCTTCACAGATTAAACATGGTTTTGTGGAAAGAAGAAATAACTGTCTTCTTTTTCTGGGGTTTGCTAAATGAGAAGGTGTACTCAATGAAAATGACAGATGCTACACACTTGATTGAACACATAAAAAGTGAATGTATTAAAATGTGAAGTTATGGCACCGAGTTCACGTGAATCTTTGCAAAGCTCATCATGGAAATCATATCGAAGATGTTATTTGTTGAAATTCCAATTCAACTGCTGAAAATTTAATTTCTTGAAAATATGCATTTTTACCGATGTGCTCAGACTTTAGGGGTACTCAGTATAAGCTGAAACTACTACACCAGCGTTTATCAACCTTTTTACCCTTGTGCCAGCCTTGAAATAGCTTTAATGATCCCACGGAAGCACTGGATAAATATTATTATATCCTATCTTTTATATTAGTCCTGGGTATGACGATAAACTACATCCGGCAGCAAGTTCTCTGATTACATCTTAATCGATGTTGTTCCCAGGTCCACCCTGATCCGGTATGGTAGCACCTGTTAGGGTCCCAGTTAAGAGCAAATAGTGAACCACCAAACAAAAACAAAACACTATGAATGTATAAAAATACATTTTTATATTACAAACTAGCAGTAGAGCCCGGTGTTGCCCGGGGATGTAACAGTAAGAGATAGATCAAGTATTGTCCATCATAAAAACTGAAAAATAAAATTGACAAAGATTATTGTTTAAGGTTGACGGACACGCATGTCTTAATTAGTTTTATTTTTTTTATTTTTTATTTTTTCTTACAAATTGGTCAAACCCAAACTCAAACAAAAACATTGTTTTCAATCGTTATGAGTCTATCGATTGAATAGAATTTTATTATAAACAATTCTCTTGTAAATGGAATTTTTAAAGCATTCTGAATGTAAAAATAAAGAAAAAAGTGTTCAAGACAATAAGAAACACTACATGCCAAAAAAAAGTGAAGTTTTGTTGAAATCGGTTGAAAAATGTAGGAAATCCGATCCCATATATAAACGAACACACACACACAAACAACGGGTTTTACAATACGTATAACTTGATATGAGTTGTCCCCCTTTCATTCTGGCGACAGAATCGTGTTTTAAAATTGATTTCGTGCAAAAACAAATGTGTTTTTCCAATTTTTGACGCTGTCAGAACCACTGCAAGGTAATTTTACGTAGTCCTGTGAAGTTTTGTTGAAATCGGTTAAAAAATGTAGGAAATCCGATCCAATATATAAACGTACAGACACAGACACACACACACACACACACACGCACACACACACACACACACAATCTGCATTTTATAATAAGTAAGATCACGATCACGAATCAATATAATGCTGAAAATTTCATTTCTTGAAAATATGCATTTTTGCTGATGTAGTTCAGACTTTAGTGACACAGTGTATAATTCACTTCATATATATATATATATATATATATATATATATATATATATATATACAAGGTGTCCAGAAAGTTCGTCTGCACTTTAAAAAATTTATAACTTTGTTTGTATTTGCGATAGAAATAATTTGTAAAAAAAATTAGAAAGAAGTTAATCTATATTTTTTAAGGTTTTATTGAAATTTTATTTAAGTTTCCACATGTCCTCCGTCATTAGCAATGCAAAGGGTAATACGATTTGGCAGTTGACGGAAAACATTTGCCAACTGATTTACAGTAATGCCTGAAATCACATTAGTTATTTTAGCCATATTTAAAACTAGGTACATTAAACTTTATAACAGTTTTTACAGATTATTTCTATCGCAAATACAAATAAAGTGCACACGAACTTTATGGACACCCTGTATATGTGTGCGTGTGTGTGTGTGTGATCATATGTACGTGCGTGTACTTTGTATTTATATGTAAGTGCCAGGTAATATATAGTTGAATATATTTTTGAGTATATATGTTTATACGTATATTGCATCAGTTTTTATCATCTGTGAATATGCTAATATTTCTATACACAGAAATACACGTTCCATTATATATATATATATATATATATATATATATATATATATATATATCCTAAGAAAAGTTTTGTCGAATGCCAGTGTAGGCCTTCTTCCCCTTCAACATAACCATGCGTACCAAGACAAAAGAGTGTCCAGAAGACCTTACGCTTAGAAGAATCGAGTTTCACCTTTTCTTTCCGATTCGCCCCCACATAACGGCTGCATAGTACATGACCTTGCGGCTGATGGGAGAGGCAATGTCCATCTTTTGGCCAATAGGTCGTTCCATCTTTTTCTTTGTGGCCGTTCAGCGTTCACCTTTTGTTATTTGTGCCTGTTTATATTGTTCTTTTTTGTTGTTGCTTTCTTTTGCTTCTGTATTTCTTCTTTTTTTTTCTTTAGCGTAGGTCCCCTGAAATTTAGTCGTTGTCTTTCTTCTTCATCCCCCTTTTTTATCCTTTTTTTTTTTTTGGAGTGGGGGCGTTTTTTTGCCCCGAGACTTTCTTTGGGGTTCCTTTTTTTGTGTCTTTTTCTTTGACTTGATTTTCCTTCGGCTCTGGTAGTTTTTAAAGTTTTCCCAGCGTTCTTTGTTGCTTTTTAAAACAATTCTATCTACGGTTCTGCATATATATATATATATATATATATATATATATATATATATATATATATATATATATATATATATATTTTTTTAATTTTATATTCGACCCTTGTTTTCCTTCCTTTCTACTTTATTTATTCATTCCTTCTTTCTTGCTTTCCGCAGTTCTTTTTCTCTCTTTATTTTTCGTTTTATTTCGTTCTTTCTTTCTCCTTCCAAACGTTGTTTTTATGTATTTGTTCCATGTTTCCTTTTTGTACAATTTTTCTCCTTTTTATTCATTCTATAATTTTTTATTTTTCCTTCCTTCCTTCTTTCCTTTGGCAAATCGTTCTTTCTTTTCTTCCACTCCTTTTCTTTAGGACTTTATTTTTTTCTTTCTGTTTTTGCAATTTCTTCCTTTCATATTTACTTCATTCACCTTTCTTTCTTTCTTTCTTTCTTTCTTTCTTTCTTTCTTTCTTTCTTTCTTTGTGTATATGTCTTCATTCTTTGTCCTTAATTTCTGTAAGTTTTATTTGCTCTTTTCATTTCTACTTCCTTCCATTTCCTTCTTTCTTTCTTTTGTTTTTTCTTTTTCTTTTGTTTCTTTTTTCTTTCTTTCGTTGATTATATGTCTTCATTCCTTGTCCTTAGTTTGTATAAATTTTATTTGGTCTTTTCATTCCTACTTACTTCCATTTGCTTTCTTTTTTCTTTCGTTCTTTCTTTCGTTGTTTGTTTGTTTCTTTCGTTCGTTCTTTCTTTTTTATTCTTTCTTTCTTTCGTTCTTTTTTATTCTTTCTTTCTTTCTTTTGTTATTCCTTTCTTTCTTTCTTTCTTTCTTTCTTTCTTTCTTTCTTTCTTTCTTTCTTTCTTTCTTTCTATTCCTTGTCCCTATTTTGCATAAATTTTCTTATTCGTGTTATTCCTTCTTCATTTCATTTTCATTTTCTTTCTCCGCCTTTCTTTTGGCTGCAATTGTCCATATTGGCCAGTGCGAGCAGAGGTTGGACGCCCAAACATTCGTGCATGCCAACACCAGTTGACCAACGGGAGTTCCAGCTAAAACCTTCATACCCATCTGTTGTAAACACTGACCATCCGAGCGTGAGGAACTACGCAAGGGCGTATCCTGTATGTGTGTATGTGTGCATGCGTGTGAAAGAAGAAAGTGGAAGAGAGAGAGAGAGAGAGAGAGAGAGAGAGAGAGAGAGAATGAGAATCAGACAAGCAAAATCTAGAAGATCGAGAGAAGAGGAAGGTGTAACTTGCTTGATCGTTAAAGAAAGAAACAATGAGAAAGAGAACAATGAAAGAAAGAAACAAAGAGTGAATGAGAGAGAGAGAGAGAGAGAGAGAGAGAGAGAGAGAGAGAGAGAGAGGGGGGGAAGGGAGAAAGATAGAGAGTATTGACATCAGCTGACAAGCCAGCAAGGCGGAAGTGACCATCTTCTGCGCATGACAATTCAAGCCAGTCGGTATGAAGCCGAGGAAAAGGAAGATGCTCTCCAAAGCCATACCTTTTTACCCAGGCAAGCGTCTGTGATCCCAACATGCTGTTACCTCGTGGCAAATTTGCACTGGTCATCCGAGTGGAAAAACACCGAAGAAGGCCCCAAACCCTTCTTGAAATGGATAGTGCTCCCACCCACGCCCAATCTAGGCTTGCTAAGAAAGCCGTAGCAGCTGGGAATGGCGGGTGTTGGAACAAGCACGACTAACCGTTGGGCGGCTCGCCAAAATGGCTGACCGCTTGGCCGCTGAAAGGATTCGTTCAAAAACTCAACCCGCGATGCCAGAACACCTTTGTGTGTGTGTTTGTGTGTAGGTGTGTGCATGTGCGTGTGTGTGTTCCCGTGTGTGTGTATGTGTGTGTGTGCGTGTTGTGATTCTTCTGTGTTTCGTTGCGTTTCGTTGATTTTATTGTTTGCGTTGGAGAGAGAGTTAAGCTTTCAAAAGAGCCCAAGTTCTATCCGATTGTATAGGTAGGTGTAGATCTGTATAAACAAGGCAGCAATTATATGCATTATGATACGTCTAATCCTGCAGATACCGGAGCGTCAGGTTTAGTTTTAGTGTTGCTACGCTGGTCGTGAGGGGGGATTCTCTCTACGCCCGAAAATGGAAGTTTCATTAAAAATGACTGACAAGGTAGAGCGTTTAAATTTGTTATTTAATTTTTCATATGTTTTTCTTCTTGAGGGTAAATTATATAGAAATTGTTCACATGTTCTTTGTATGTCCGACAGCTTTAAGCTATACTTTTAGCCATTATCAAGGATGGATTTTGATTTTACTTTTAATTGAATGCATGAGTTGTTTTATGTATGTACCTAGTATTAAAGGAATGTTTTATTTTCTAAACAGGGTCAGCACATTGTGACCGTGTTCAGAGTTGATTTTTAAAAGTGTTTAAAAGCGCTCGAACATAAAACATTTAAACAATTTCTATATAATTGACGCCAAGAAAACATAAAAAATTAAATAAAAAACTTAACCGTACCTTTACAGACGCTTTTAATGAAAATTGTATAAAAGAGGGTTTACTGCCTATATATATATATATATATATATATATATATATATATATATATATATATACACCCAAGTATAGGATTGGTGTATACAGAATGAATTCAATAATCAAAAAATACTATTTTTAAAAGAGTGCATACGACAGAGTAGAGCAAATATAATTATTTATTCGAAAATTATAACATAAATATGTTATAAAATCACTACAAAAAACCCATTTTGTTTTCAACACTTCTGCTGTCTTATCAAGTGATGTACATTCAACATCATCATTTGATAATACACCAGAAGTGTTCAAACAAAATGGGTATTTTTGTAGTGATTTTATAACATATTTATATTATAATTTTCAATGTTGTCCTCATCTTTATTGCCATATTCATGACGTTTCGGCCGTTGTACGCTCCGGCCTTCTTCAGGATCTGTCAGAATTTTTTAAATGAGGTATTGCAACTGCTGTTTTGCCTTGCGTATATTATTTTTGACCTGTTCTCTTTTCTATTTCTTATTCATTGCAAACTTTATCAGATCTATTTGGTAGACATTTCGACCAATTACATTTATCCAAGGCCAATTACTCTGCCACCGTATTTTTAACGTTATTTTTATCGTGCTTATCATTAGAGGGCATCTGCTTGCAATAAAATAAGTTAATGGTGTATTTATTTTTGTTCATATCTAGATGATTACTTGCATTATTTTTTTCTAAATTTCGTTAAGACTAATTTTATTTGTTCGTCGACGACTTAGAGAAGTCATTATTAACTATTTGTTTGTATTATGTTGCATAGTTCTTTATAAAATAATCAGTCCGAAGAAGCGAATATATTTTTATAGTAACTATTTCGGATCTGTGAGGATATTCATGTTTGTGTATGCGTTTCTGTTTATGCATTTTTTCCTGTAGTGAAGTCGTATAATTATGGTTATTAACGTTTAGATTCTTTTTTTTATTGTACTACTAATCCAAAGCAATAAAAGACTTAGTCAATACTAAACAAAATGATAAGCAACTTACTCCATCACCTGTAATAATTGTCACAAAAATTGCATAGGAGAAACCTCAAGGAATCTAAATTAAACATTATATGGACACAAAGGAGAGATTTTACAAAACAACACATCAAATGCATTGGTTGCACACCATAGACTAACCATAATTTTGACTTGAAAATGCTACTCTGATCAAAGGAGAAAACAATTCACTATGACATAAATGTCTAGAGAGTGCCTTGATCCCAAGGTCATCGACAGTAAATTTGCATCCCTGGCTCTTACAACATTTCACCATTCCTGGCAGATCTTGTATTATTATAATGCATGTCGGAGACCTACTAACAAAAGTGAAGGAAACAAAAAAATTCTAAATGAATTGGGCAAGACATATATATATATATATATATATATATATATATATATATATATATATATATATATAAAACGACTTAAAAAAAATTCTAAAATCCCCAGTACCCACTGTCTATACACATGTGTAGTTGTACCAACATAACAAATTTAGTCCAATAAAGTCATGAATGTCAAAATGCGTCAAAAGTAAACACTTTGTCATACATTTCCACAATATTGTTCTTGATATATAAAAATATATATTGTTACGTCATATATATATATATATATATATATATATGATAGTCTGAAGATTGTATTCAAGCATGAAACAGACTGTCACCACCTGAGTTGATCTCAGTGCCCACTTTATGTATATATATATATATATATATATATATATATATAGTATTTACATTAGTCGGACTATTGTCCTCATCTTTGTCGCCATATTTGTCACAACGTTTCGGCCGTTGTACGCTCCGGCCTTTCTTACAACGCTCCGTACAACGGACGAAACGTTGTGACAAATATGGCGACAAAGATGAGGACAATAGTCTGACTAATGTAAATACTGTACATAATACCTCATCTCAGAAATATAGACATATATATATATATATATATATATATATATATATATATATATATATATATATATATATATATATATATGCAGTTATTAATAAGAACAGCTAAATTGTCAAAAAATCGAAAACAAAAACAAAACAAAAATGGACCCATTTAATTAATGTTGTATTCATAAGTAGGTTAATAATGACCGATAAGGAATTATCTTTCCTACCCAGTTCTTGATAATGACCGAAATGTACGAAAGTCTTTGAACAAAACAACAGAACAAACTTTGGACAGCTTATACAAAATTTCGATCCTGATATACAACTTACTCAAAAATTGGAAAAATTTAATAAAAATTAAACAAACAGATCGTGTTCATTGAATTTCATAAATCTTTTCTAAAATGGAACGCTTATATACGGTGCCATCCCAAAAGATGCTGAGAGAATGTTCGGTTCCTTCTATCGCTTTAGAAAATACCGAACTACATTAACTACGTTAAAGACAAACACAAAGAGATCCCGCTTTGCTGTTTTGTCCAGTTGTTTCTAGAGTAATTATTTATATTTAAGCTTTCTTTAAACAAACAATATTTTAAATATTCTAAAATATTTTTTATGTTAATCTGATTTAAAAATATTTTAAGTGAATAAGATTTTAAAACACGGGTTGTTTATACAGTAAGCATTTTTATTTTAACTTTCTCCAAGCAAACAATTTTTTAAATTAAATTTTTTTTAAGCTAAAGACAGACACAAAGAGATCCTGATTTGCCGTTTCCTCCAGTTGTTTGTAAAGTAATTATTTATATTTAAGCTTTCTTTAAACAAACAATATTTTAAATATTTAAAAATATATTCTTTGCTATATTTTAAAAATATTTTCAAGTGAATATGATTTAAAAAAACATTTTTGACATATTAAAAAACATTTTTGACATATTAAAAAATATTTTTAAGTTAATCTGACTTAAAAATATTTAAAAAATACGAGTTGTTTGTATATTAAGTATTTTTATTTCAAACAGTTTTTTTTAATGTTGAATTCAATTTCAGTGTTTTATAAGCTGAACCGTCAGTGAGCTAACAGGTAACGAGTAGTCTAATATATATATATAAGTGGACATTGAAGTCAACACCCAGATACGGCACTCTGTTTCATGCTAAACGCAATCGTCAGGCCATTTGCGTTGTGTTTTTGTTCAACTTTTTATATATACCGGCCAGTGTTGCATATGGGTATTCTATTGCATTTTGGGTAGTCTATTGCATTGTGGATATTCTGTTGCATTGTGGGCCGTCTATTGTATTATTCTAAATATTATTGTGGTGGACGTGGTTTGTTAATTTGTTTATTTACTTAGTGTATTTACTTATTTATTTGTTTGGATTAATTTATTTTAATTGTTTTTGCTTATTTATTTTATTTATAATTTATTTATTTTCAGTTATTATTGTTCATTTTCAGTTTTCGATTTTTAAGTAACGCAGTAAAATCTTTTTTGCGTGTTTGCATTTTGAGATGAGTTCTGACCGTTTATTTAGTAGTTTGTTTTGAGCTGTGAAGGTAATATGGTTATTTTTTC